TTATTATTATGAAGGTAGCAGCTCCTTGTCGATAATAATTTGAAAGATTATATATTGTTGAGAAAACCTTTGTTAGTTAAATTTGCTTAATAAGAAAATTATTTATGTTCGATGAATATGATGAGATTCGGCAAAATGTACAGCTACAAATATAAGAAAAAAATGTACTTCCTGAAGAGGAAAAATAATCATAAAATATAATTAAATAAAAACTGACATCCATGTTTATAGTTATTTGACTTGTAGAAATGAATCGATTTTGATCTTGATCTTTAGTGGATAAATCTTTACAAAAAAATGTAGCTATCTTATAGATCCAAATCAAGACATATTTAGTTTTTGAAGATGGATATTTGGTTGTTTTCCTACGGAAATTGTTGTACGTCTTCGAATATTTTTCTTCAATACCATATTGTCATCGAAAGAATCTTTTGATATAATATTATTTGAATCATCTCCACTACTTGCTTCTTTTACTAAACAAGAAAATAACCCATTAGATTTATTCAAACAAAGATAATTTTCTTTAAACTTCTCAAATCGTAAATATTTCCATTTAATATTTTTCTTTTGTTTAACAACATTAGTTGTTTGTTTTATGTTCGAAGCAACAGAAACATTTCGATTTAAACCATTATGTATACGACTACGATCATAAAATGAAAAATGATGTTTTGGATAATTTTTCTAAAAATTAAAAAGGCAACTGCTCTTTTCCCAATCCATATGATATGATTTTTAGAATTGTTTCGTTGCATTATCTAAATTTACTTAATCAACGATCTAAATATTCAGTTGTATTTATCCCGTTAGATGAAAAAAAAATTAGAGCAATTACTTATTATTTGTTTATTATTTTTCATTAGGCTGTTGTCTTTTAAATGCGTGGATGGATGATATGAAAGGATGTGATGTTTTATAACGATAAAAACCAGTAACGAAAGCATTTACTAAGCAATAAAAAACAAATCTTTTTTATTGAAAAGTCTTGATTTAATAGGTTTAGAACATGAGAGAAGTTTCTAGATTTATCAGAAAATATCTTTATCTGCACATTCGGCAACAAAGGATATTTTCATTTTTTGTTTGCTTGTTTAAATAAAGAATAAATATGAATAAAATCTTTTCTTTTGCAAAGTAAATCTATATAAAATCTTTCTAATGGACTTATTAAATAAAATAACTGTTTATTTATATTTACCAATAAAAATAGATGATTTGTTTATTTTTTCAAGATCATGATAAACAAATAACAAAATCGTTTTCTTTTGTTTCTAAAAATCTTATTTTCATCTTGACTGTTGATACATAGGAAAATATTCGAGTATTCGAATATTTAAATCATACAGATATTTTTCTCTACATTAACATCAATTTGCTTTTGTACTTTTATAAATATTGAACTATTATTGAGGACAAGAGACGAATAACAATCAACAGTCGAGTTACCATAATATATGTGTTCATTTAATTATTTACAATAAAAATAAATCGTTTTATTACTTATTTTTTAATAATTATTCAGATGCAGAACGTATTTATGATTTAATTTGTTTCGGAAATAAAGAGTTTGCTGCATTTTTTCTGCATAAATAGGTATTTGTGTTACTTCTGATCTCATGATGAACAAAATAGAAAATAACATCTGTTTTATTGTAACTATACCTTTCGTTTTTGAGTTCAATTGAAATTTCAGATTTTCATGAAACTTTCTTTTGTGAAAAGTTATTAAAACTAACAGATATTCATTATTAAATTTGAATTAAAATACGATAAAAAAAGAGAGAGATGTTTTTTGTTGAAAGTAGATTTTTTTCAATTATAATAAAAAGTTTTGATCTCGAATCTTCATATACCCTTAATATTGGTAAAAAAATTCACCTTTTCTCGAAATAATTATGTTATAATCTGTTTATCTGAAGCTGCTTGATAAAGATAAAAATTAATTATGTACAAAAATATACTTGAATTTCAATAGAATACAATTTTTTATATTTGATTGAATATTAATTGATTCTTAACATTTGAAAATTATTTCTTTAAAATCTAAAATATGATTCTATGACATTTCGACACTTATTATCTAATTAGAAACGAATTTCGAAAAGACGTCTATACATGAACGATAGTTCATCGAGCAGATATAGCTCAAGCGTAAGTCACTTGCTTTCTATTCACATGTTCTTCTGTTCTAGTCTCGTTCATCGCACATATTAAATTCGTTATGTAAGTCATTACACTTGTTCTGTACTATGCCTCTAGGATAGAGCCGACCATCACGTGCTTCTGATGGTGACGTAGTTCAAATCTACGAATACAAGATGATATTTTTTTTTTCTGTAAATATTCAAACGTGTTTGGACGCGTTTAGTTTTTGAAACGCGTTAGATGCGTCAAATGTTTCACAGGTCTACTTGGATGCATTTGAACGCGTTTGTACTCGAACGCATCAAAACGCATCCATGAGACGCGTCTAAACGCGTCAGATGTTTCATTTTGGCCGCGTTCAGATGCGTTTGTTTCTATGCGTTCCAAACGCGTTTTAGATACGTTTAGAAACGCGTTTAGAGTAAAAAAATTTTCACATGGGTATTACTCTGTTTCTTCTGGTCGTATTTGTATGTACACTAGTGATGACGTCTGCAGACAACAACACCATTGATCGTCTCTTTTATCGGCTGATCCATTTTTTGTTCTCTGTCTATCATCTGTTTTTTGTGCAGTTCTAACTGTGTTTTTCAGATTTTTTTAACCATGAATGGAAGTTTTCGCTTGTCGTCATCGGAAAGAATTGACACTGTAAAATAGTATGTCATATGCGCCAGAATGCAGCTGAAGTTACTCGTCAGTTTCAATACCGTTATGATGGAATTACTCCAGCACGAAAGAACATTTTGAATCTGGTACGAAAATTTGATGATGAAACCAGAAGTATCCTAGATGAATCCAGACCTGACAGATCTAGATCTGTTAGTACCGATGATAAAAAAGAACATGTTCCTGCAGCTTTAGAAGAAAAAGTCCTGCAACGTCATTGAGAAGAGCTTCGTTGCAGTTGAGTCTATCTAGAAGCAGTCTTCAACGAATGATGAAGGAGTTGGAATTGAAAACTTATCGTCCTCAATTACTGCATGATTAGAGCGATGATGATTCCGACGGATGCTGTGAATTTGCTGATATCTTTCTGAAATTGGTCGCTGACAACTCTTCGTTGCTTGATCGAATTGTGTGGACCGATGAAACTACTTTCAAGTTGAATGGACATATCAATCGAGATAACTGCATTTACTGCGCTACAGAAAACGCTCATATCATCATTACCCAAGAGATGAATGCCCCAGGCGTTATTGTATGGGTCGGAATTTGGTCTGAAGACCTTATTGGACCGTTCTTCTTTCGTGATACGGTTACTGGACACAGTTATCTCAAAAAGCTTGATGAAGAAATTGTTCCTGCTGTTGAATATCGGATGAATTTAGCAGGAATTTTTTATATGCACGATGGAGCTCCAGTTCACTATGATCAATCTGTTCGACACTTTTTTGGCAAAACATTCTCTAATTGATAGATTAGTCGG